GCAGGAAAGCCCCACGGCGGTGTTCTTCACTCATTTTCAGAGGTGGCGGAGGGCGAGGGCGGGTCGGGGGGGGTGGGGCACGTCCGCCGATAAGACACGGTACAGCGTGAGGGCCGCCACACGTTTTAACACCGCTGGGTTTGACAGCAGCACACGAGGACGACGACGACGACGACGATGGGGAGGTGATTTCAGATCTGGGTATTGTCAGGGGCCGCACAAGAGGCCACCAGGGGCCGCTCGTGGCCCGCCGGCCTTGCAGTGAAGGACACTGCCCCGCAGTGTTCACGTTTAGAAGGGGGTCTGCAATTGTTTTGCAGTAGGGGGCGACAATTGCTTCGTGTTTCCCCCAATTAAGTTATTAGCGAGTTTTCAAGTTTGTGAATTGCAGACGTTGGGAGCTACTAAGGAGAAGGCGCTGCATTGCGTAGAACATCTCTGACTGTTGTGGTATCTGTAAAGCAAAACAAATACAGTACAGTTTAAATTTCCATTTAAAGCTTTCGTGACTGCAGGGATTCATATTCTTGGTTCTTTCGGTAAAGTCACCACCACGTAGAATGGAAATAAAATAATAAAAATAAAACATAAAATAAAATTCTCATGACGTTTCGGCCACAACACAAGTAGCCTTCCTTAGGTGAAGGAACAGAACTGTCGGGAAGACGGCGCTCGAGTGAACACTGCTAAGCTTGGCAGTGTCTTTTAAGCTGGGTGGGAGGAGCAGAGCCCCTTGACGAAGGAGTTTACATATCAACAGAAGGATTTAGCATTGAAGTAGCTAAGTTAATGTGTTGGATTAGCATGATGTTAATGTGAGGAATTAGCATGTCAGATTAGCATGTAACTGGGAGATTAGCAGGATGTTAATGTGAGGAATTAGCATGTAACTGGGAGATTAGCATGATGTTGATGTGAGGAATTAGCATGTAACTGGGAGATTAGCAGGATGTTAATGTGAGGAATTAACATGTAACTGGTCACGGTAGTAGCTATGTTAAAGTCCGAGTTTACATATCAACAGAAGGATTTAGCATTGATGTAGCTGTGTTAATGTGTTGGATTAGCAAGATGTTAAAGTCAGAAATTAGCATGTAACTGGGAGATTAGCATGATGTTAGTGTGAGGGATCAGCATGTGACTGGTCACGGAAGTAGCTATGTTAAAATCAGAGTTTACATATCAACAGAAGGATTTAGCATTGAAGTAGCTGTGTTAATGTGTTGGATTAGCAGGGTGTTAAAGTCCGAGTTTACATATCAACAGAACAATTTAGCATTGAAATAGCTGTGTTAATGTGTTGGATTAGCAGGATGTTAAAGGCAGAATGTTAGTGTGAGGGATTAGCATGCCGGTTTATTTTTTCCTTGTTTCAACGTTAGCACCACGGAAAGCGACGAGCTTTGTTCAGACGGACGAGTCCATCATTGTTCGGAACGGAGGAGGGGGGAGAGGGAGAAGCAGCCACGATGCGCTGGGTCTGCAATTATTTTGCAGTAGGGGGCGACAGTTGCTTCGTGTTTCTCCCAATTAAGTTATTAGCGAGTTTTCAAGTTTGTGAATTTCAGACGTTGGGAGCTACTAAGGGGAAGGCGCTGCATTGCGTAGAACATCTCTGACTGTTGTTGTATCTGTAAAGCAAAACAAATACAGTACATATTCTTAGTTTTTTCGGTAAAGTCACGTTGAAGGGAAACAACAAAATAATAAAATATATATAAAACAATTAAAAATTCTCACGACGTTTCGACCATTACTCAAACGGTCGTCTTCAGGTGTGAAAACCACTGCAAGAAAATTTTCTTGATATGTGGTTTTCACACGTGAGAATTTTATCGTTTTATATTTTTATTATTTTATTGTTTCCCTTCTACGTGGTGACTTTACCAAAAGAACCAATAATAGAGTACAGTTTGTTCACCGATGCAGTTTTCTGCATCGTTTAATCTGGCTTCTGCCGCACATCACGAACACAACGTCCGCGTGACGATTATCCGAACCGGTCCCGGGCCTCCACTCAACTCGGCCTCAAATGAGTACCCTGGTGCGGTGTGTGAACATCGCCACTGGGGAGACAAAGGCGGCCGGGCGTGGTGCTGGCCACCCACCCCCTCGTGTACCGTGCCGGCCTTCAATGATGCTCGCGAGCAGCACTTGACCCAACAGTCTGTTAAGGCTACACGGGGACGATTTTCGTCTTGCATTGATTGTGTGCTGCGTTGCGTATGACATTTTTTTAAACAATTAAATGAGGCAGATGTCTTGTTATGTTTTTTTTTATCAGGCGCAGCGAAGAAGCTAAGATTCGTAGCAGGCTTGAAAGAAATATTCGTGAAAAAAATACAGAAATAGGTAGGCAACGTTTTGAGAGTGTCAGTGACCATTGCGAGTGTTAATTATTTATCGCACGTGCGACATTTGACCTCTATCAGGAGTGTACATTGTTAACGTCTGTTTAATATATTTTCATCGTTGTCCAACGTTTATTGGTAATCCTTAATTAATATTATCACTCGATTATTATTTTTAGATAATTTGAAGATTGCAAGCGACAATAACGACGTGAAACATCGCGAAACGCTGGTGAGCACATTTCAATGTCGTCTATCGCAATATCAGCCAGAAGAGCGGACGACGTTCAACGTCGCGATTGTAGTTCACAAGTTCATTAGCCAAGTAAAGCCCAATGAGCCAAAAAAGCTCCTTTGTCAATGGTGGCTCAGCAAATCATTCTATTTGAACAATTACACAGGTTTACATTTTTAAAATAAATCAATTAGATTGTACTATTTACATTCACATTTGAAACTTTTGTGATCTTAACAGTCGGTTTAGGTGAGGACAGAGATGACAGAGTGAAGGTGCTAAGAGACGATGCTAGATGGTTCCAAAGCTTTGTAGCAGCTACATTAAATGATTTAGATTTATCTTCCCACCCGCCCCACTTCTCTGAAATGGTTCAATTTCGTTGGGATTGTTTTCCGCCAGCGAAGTCACCTGCTTGAGCAAGCTATGCAGCGTTGCCGTATTGGGGCTCGCACTTTGTTACCCAAAAAAAAAACACAATCGCTTTTCGATTTATAATAATAATAGGGTTTTTTCCCCTTTTTTCTGGCAATAAAACTGAAATCTTTTTACGAGGATTCACGTCACTGCATTAACCACAACACCTGCAGTCAAAATGCAAACAAAAAACCTACTATGATAATATATATGTGGCATTGTCCTTGAAACTGATTGGTCCACACCAAGGGACGGCTTTCTTTTGAGCCTCGACCCAATTGGTGCTCGACAAGATGACGCCAAAAGGCGTACATTGTTTTTGAGCTGTGTGACGCCTTTTGGCGTGGACCAATCAGTTTCAAGGACAATGCCACATATATTATCATAGTAGGTTTTTTGTTTGAATTTTGACTGCAGGTATATTGTGGTCAATGCAGCGACGTGACTCCTCGTAAAAAAAGGTTTCAGTTTTGTTGCCAGAAAAAAGGGGGAAAACCCCTATATTATTATATTTTGGCACTGGCAAAGGAGGTCCAATGATGTAGATGCTCACCCCGAGCCCTCATTACCTTGATAGTGCATTGTCTTTGAGCTGTGTGACGCCTTTTGGTGTCATGTGGTCTAGCACCAATTGGGTCGAGGCTCAAAAGAAAGCCATCCCTAGGTGTGGACCAATCAGTTTCAAGGACAATGCCACATATATATTATCATAGTAGGTTTTTTTGTTTGCGTTTTGACTGCAGGTATTGTGGTCGATGCAGCGACATGAATCCTTGTAAAAAAAGGTTTCAGTTTCGTTGCCAGAAAAAAGGGGGAAAACCCCTATTATATTATTATATTTTGGCACTGGCAAAGGAGGTCTAACGATGCTTTTCGATTTTATCAAACACGGAACGCCGGCCACTGCGTCGGTCTCCGTCGCTGTGCTCACAACGGCCTTTGGGTCGCGTCCCAATATTTTTTGTTTTGCTTGGCAAGGCGTTTCACGTTGGGCTCCCGAGAGGCTCGGGGAGCACGGGGGGGGGGGAGGGGGGAGAGAAAGGGAACGTTCAGACGGCATCCGAGAGCATTTACATTATGAGACCTCCTTTGCCAGTAACAAGATATAGTAATAGGTTCTACCCTTTCAAACTGGCACGAAAAACTGACACCTTTATTCAAGGCATCATGTCTGCAATAACCACAACACAAGCAGTCAAAATGCAAACAAAAGAGACAACTCTGATAATAATATTGGCACTGTCCTTGAATTTGAGTTTTTTGTGCCAGTTAAAAGGGTAAAAACCTATTACTATATCTTGTTACTGGCAAAGGAGGTCTCATAATGTAAATGCTCACGCTGAGCCCTCAATACTCTGATAGTGCGTTGTTTTTGAGTTGTACGCCTTTTGGCGTCTTCTGGTCCAACACCAGTGGAGACTAGGCTCTAAGAAAAGCCGTCTCGGGTGTGGACCAATCAAATTCAAGGACAGTGCCAATATCATTATCAGAGTTGTCTTTTTGTTTGCATTTTGACTGCTTGTGTTGCGGTTATTGCAGACATGATGCCTTGAATAAAGGTGTCAGTTTTTGGTGCCAGTTAAAAGGGTAAAACCTATTGCTACGGCATCCGAGAGCTTACGCCCACCGTGGTGCAATAAACACATCTTGGGGTATCGTAGGAGGTGTTGGTCTCGCGTCGTGTCTTGCGTGAAGGAATCCTTAGACGCGTTCAAACGAGAGAGAGCTTCACTCCAAGAAGCCGTCTGTCAAATGGAACAGCGGATAGCCGCCATGGAAACGCTGAAAAACGAAAGCAAGGTATTTCGAACGTTTCTTAAATCTACGGGTAAAATAATAACCCGCGCAACACTTCCCTGTGAGCGTTATCGTTTGCAAACGCGTGTAGAATTGCGTCAATTGTCGTCGCTGCGGATGCTCTTTTTTACGCGCACAAATGTGGCAATTCGCGTCGCCCGGCGCCGCATCTTGGGGCGTCGTTTAACTTCCAGAGCGAGCTCAACGGAGCGAAAGCAAAAGAGCGCGTCTTGGAGAATGACCTCAGAGACGCCTTGAACGCGGCGAACGTCCTGGAATCAGAGCTGTCTCAGGAGAGGTAAATGTTGGAGCGTTATTTTTCAGCTCGCTCATTCGGGCGCATTTAGGCGTTCCCCTCCTCCTCCCCCTTCGCCCTCTCTCCCTTTTATCGTTTCGACCCCCGGCCGTCCTTCCCCCGAGAGCGGTGTCTCTTCACCTTGACCGCAGCCTGCCACCCCCTGTGGCTCTCAGCCGTTAACAACGTCGTACGACGTCGATACGGTAGAAACCGTGGGATCGCGAGCACGATTCGTTCCGGAAACGTGTTTTGTAATCCAAAGCACTCGCGTATAATCAGAGCACTCGGTACATCAGTTGTGATCACGTGACGCCCGGCAGTACAAAGCGTGTCTACACGTGCGCTGCGCGTATTGCGAGAACCTCGCTCGTTTATCAAGTTAATATTTATTTACAAATGTAGCCCGTCTCGCCAAACACTCGCAGGCCAAGTTACTCGCAATCCAAGGTTTTACTGTACACAGCAACTCCTCTGCACCCGCTGTGGGACGTAAGGCCACAATAAATACACAGGGGTTGATGAAACAAAGTAGTTGTACTAACGTATCCGCGCTAAATTTGCGTTTTGTTTTTTCACCTTCTAAAGAAAACAAATCTGGCCGTGTCTCGCACCCCCCCAGAAAGGGAATCTCGCACCCTCAGGTTGTGAAGAGCCACTGCCCTACAGGGTTATCCGAGTTCAGGAAGTAGACACCAGGGAAGTAGAGTTTATTGAAACGCATGGCATCGACGGGTTAAAGATATAAAACGCCGGTGAATAATCGGCGTGCTTGACAGGTGTCAAGTCCCAGGCAATGTCGTCTGTCTGTGTGTGTGTGTGTACCTTAAGCGTTGGTTCCATAAATAGCTTTCGGACAAAAAATGGTGAAGCTTTGAGACAGTTTGGCAGTGTGTTTAGTTACAGAATTGTTGAACGGTGGGTGTCTAAAAATCATGGTTTTATTTTTTCTCGGATGAATGCTTGTCAATTGACTCAAACGATAGATAAAATAAAACCTGAAAATAGTAGATATCGCAAACAAGTTCTTACTGATTATAGTATAATGTTACCCAATATCGATGTGTGTGTGTTAGCTTTATTGACACTGGGCCAAGGTTTATGGTGCATCAAGCATTCCACAGCATCGTACAATCCAGAGAATAAATTGCTCCTCTCTTGGATTTACACAACTGTTGCTTATGTTTTTTTTTTTTTATCCTGGAGCTAAGTAACCGCGTGTGAAATAAAAGTACCCGAACGATCTTGAATTTTTAACAGAATATGCAGCCTTGACATCAGCAACAGGTTTGGGCTGGTTATTTTGGAAAACGAGGAACTGACCGAGCTGTTTTCTCGCGTGGCGAATCAAAACGAGGAACTTACCGACATCATTGAGGTATTCTGGCTCGGACGTACGCACGATTCACATCTTTGTGGGACATTGCAGACCGCAAAACTGTTTTTACAAAATGATCCACGCTCTCATTTTCAGACAACAAAGCGCAACGAAGCTGCGTTACAGGTCAAAGTTCAAAAGTTGGAATCGATTAATAAAAACCTAACGTAAGTTCTGATTCATAAACTTCGTTGAAAATTTCCAGCTGTGGTTTTCACACCTGACGACGATTGCTTCTTGCGTTGCAGTCGAAACGTCGTGAGAATTATATTGTTTTATATTTTTATTATTTTATTGTTTCCCTTCTACGTGGTGACTTTACCGCAAAGAACCATGCCCATACATGTGTCTCTCTCTGTCTCTGTGTTAACTCTTTCCGCTTATGCGTCTGTATATGTATGTGTCTCCGGTTCTGTGTCTTATCTGTCTCTTAAACGTAATCAACCAGGTAGGGTGTTGACTGTTATGTCAGCCGACTTTCTGCGCTGTATTGCATTATATTTCTAAGTTTACTAGGAATTGTTTCTCTTTCATTTGTACCTGATGATGATTGCTTGCTTTGCAATCGAAACGTCGTATGATATTATGTAATTTATTATTTTCTATTTCTACGTGGTGACTTTACCGAAAGAACCAAATAATAATACTAAAGTAAGTTGTTCCTGCCTATTTTTTTGGGGGGGCTTTTCAATTCACAATATTTTCCTTTTTGTGGATGACATACTTTTGTTACAAACACAACTCCCATCTCTGTGAAAGAAGACTCTGGCCCTTTATCCGCATGGTAAGGTCTTTATTTCACGGCATGGGTCCACACCTTCATCCCAGCTCTCTCTCTCTCCCGCAACGACCTCAACTCCGCCTCCCGCCCCCTCTTTTAACCTCTTCCTGGCTCCGCCCCTCGTTGCACTCCACCAATCGTCACCTCTCTCTCACCCTCACCTGCAACCTCCATCACTACCTATGAGATCTTCACTCAAAACTGCTCTGGAGGAGTTGTACACCCCTAGCTGCCACTGCTATTCAGTGGCCTAAAATATGGCTCTAGGGTTTGGTGTTGCATGTTATTTATGTAGTTTATTGTTAAAAATTCGGTCACAGTCCCTATGATCACTGTTACATTGCATTTATGGCTTTTATTTTGGTGATTTTGAAAAGTTTATTTGGTTTGGCCATGTTTTTGTTTATTGTAGTATGGAGTTAGACTGATGGCCTTAATCTAAGTTGTCTTGTGGTGGTTGTTGTTTGACTTGCATCCCACTGGGATTTTTGCACACAGCGTTGGTGGTGTACGGTGCTATTTCAGGAATATTTTGATGTTTTTTTTTTCCTGTATTTTCTGTTTGCACAGTCACATAATCACTTTAAGATGTTTTCTTGTTCATGTTTTTTGTTTGTTGTGGTTGCACCTGATTCAAGAGCTGAATGGCTCACAGGGCTATACCAAATAAATGCAAATGGAACTATGGAACCTGGCCTAACCGTCCCACCTGATGCCCACCCAACCCTCTCGCTCTTTTACCTTTTGAATGTTCCGGGCCAATCCTCTTGGCTCCCCGTTCCCTAACCAATCGTCGCGTGGATGTGTTTGCTCCCGCCTTCTTGATTACTCTGTCCCGGGGAATCGTGTGGGACGATCACTACGCCTGCAATGATGTTTTTTTTTTCTTTTAATCCAGGGAAGAGTTGGAATCTGCCAAAACGCAACATCAGGCACAGCTTGAAGCCCACGTACAGAAATATACAAACTTGGTAAATACGAAACATAAAACAGTACTCTACAAAGTGCTTTTAATCATTGATTATCATAATGTATTGGTTAGCACACTAGGTTTCCAATCCAGAAGTAGACGGATCAATCCTCTGGTGTGACAGTTGAAACAATGAGGACTATTCTGAAATGCGTCTTAAAAGTGTACCCAAGTTTTGCGTTTCAGTAAACTTGAGTATAGTTTTAAGATACGCACCCTGTATATTTTTGTTACGCAGACTGCCACGTAGTCTATTCTGATCAATTTATGATTCCTCTAGTTCTTTAATGGGGGGCATTACCTCATTCTCAGTGAGTCGAGAATTTGTAGTGTATAGTATAGTGTGTAGTGTAGTGTATAGGATGAACATTGAGATTTATAAAGGCACGGGGTGACCGATAAGGTCTGAATTGGTCCGTGATAAGGTAGACACTGATAAGGGCTTGACTGGTATGTAGTGTATAGTGTTGTGTATAGTGTGTAGTGTAGTGTACAGGATAAACATTGAGATTTATAAAGGCACGGGGTGACCGATAAGGTCTGAATTGGTCCGTGATAAGGTAGACACTGATAAGGGCTTGACTGGTGTGTAGTGTATAGTGTTGTGTATAGTGTGTAGTGTAGTGTATAGAATGAACATTGAGATTTATAAAGGCACGGGGTGACCGATAAGGTCTGAATTGGTCCGTGATAAGGTAGACACTGATAAGGGCTTGACTGGTGTGTAGTGTATAGTGTTGTGTATAGTGTGTAGTGCTGTGCATAGAATGAACATTGAGATTTATAAAGGCACGGGGTGACCGATAAGGTCTGAATTGGCCCGTGATAAGGTAGACACTGATAAGGGCTTGACTGGTATGTAGTGTATAGTGTTGTGTATAGTGTGTAGTGTAGTGTACAGGATAAACATTGAGATTTATAAAGGCACGGGGTGACCGATAAGGTCTGAATTGGTCTGTGATAAGGTAGACACTGATAAGGGCTTGACCGGTGTGTAGTGTATAGTGTCGTGTATAGTGTGTAGTGTAGTGTATAGTGTATAGTAGTGTATAGTGTAGTGTAGTGTATAGTGTAGTGTATAGTGTAGTGTATAGTAGTATAGTGTAGTGTATAGTGTCGTGTATAGTGTGTAGTGTATAGGATGAACATTGAGATTTATAAAGGCACGGGGTGACCGATAAGCTCTGAATTGGTCCGTGATAAGGTAGACACTGATAAGGGCTTGACCGGTGCACATTTCCAGCACTAATTGTGTCACCTGACACATTCAACGTTTAAAGACGCCGCGCTTGAATAGTACCGGTCGGTCACCTCGGACAGTTACACTCGTTGGTCGGTGGCAAAGCGGCCGCATGGTGGCGATGAACGCAGTCCGTGGCAGTGTTTTGCCGCGCGGTCTGTTTTAAGAAGAAGTTTGCGAGCCTCGTTTCAATCAGGAGGCGAGGGTTATCAACCCCTAACACGTCCGTTGCACGCGAACCGCAACAGGTTCACGAGCTGGACGAGCAGCGGGAGGCGCACCGCCGGAAGGACAGCCGCAATGAAAACAAGGTGAGCGCCAAAACGTTTCCGTGGCAACGCATGTATCATTACCGGAGCGTGTTTGCGTTCGATGTGTTCGCCGCAGGTACGTGGTGGTTAATGCGGTGCTTGATACCTTGCAGAAGGTGTCTACTTGGAGTTGGAACATCTTAAACACCTGCTGCTGTAATAATAATAGGGGTTTTTCCCCTTTTTTCTGGCAACAAAACTGAAACCTTTTTACGAGGATTCATGTCGCTGCATTAACCACAATACCTGCAGTCAAAATGCAAACAAAACACATACTTCATCATTATTAAAACACACACTATGATAATATGATGCATTGTCCTTGAAACTGATTGGTCCACACCAAGGGACCGCTTTCTTTTGAGCCTTGACCCATTTGGTGCTCGACCAGATGACGCCAAAAGGCGTCACACAGCTCAAAGACAATGCCACTATCAAAGTAATGAGGGCTCGGGGTGAGCATCTACATCATCATTAGACCTCCTTTGCCAGTACCAAAATATAATAAGAGAGATTTTCCCCCTTTTTTCTGGCAACAAAACTGAAACCTTTTTACGAGCTTTCATGTCACTGCATTAACCACAATACCTGCAGTAAAAATGCAAACAATAAAAAACACCTCCTCTTGTATATACCCAGAAAAGGTAAAACCTATTGTTATTTTTCATACCAAAAAAAGACACCGACTTTCTTATTTCACTAACACCGGCTGATAAAAAAAATTGTATATCGTATTTCCCGGATTATAACATGGACTCCTCCACCCGTATATTGAACTTCTTTCCCACCGCACATAGCCAACCGTTCTTAATCGGAGGTGCGGGGGAGGCTAAGGACAACCGTGGATAAAGCTTACTGTATTTCATTTAACAGTAAGTTCATATTCTTAGCTCTTTCGGTTAAAGTCACGTTAAAGGGAAACAATAAAATATATATAAAACAATAAAAAAATTATCACGACGTTTCGACCATGACACAAACGGTCGTCACCAGGTGTGTTGGTTTGCATAAATTTAATTATTTTTAACGGACTTACAGAATGTGTAAGTCCGGCGTTGTTGTTGTTGACTTTATAAAGAGCAGACAGGGCGTGGTGACCTATTAACGTTGACAGCACTTCTAAAACAACCCCCTTTTTAACATCTAAAAACCTAAGCAGTCGTTACCGTGACTGCAAATGTTCGCCCTGACCGAGTTCACTTCACTTTGCAGATCAAGGATTTGGAGTCTGAGATCGACTCGCTTGAGCGGCAGCGGCAGGACGACCGAGCACGCGACAACGCGATCGCGGAGTTAGCGGACTACATGGAGCAGATAAGACACTTGGAGGAGGTTTGCGAAATGAACTTGACAAATGTTGTTGTGATAATTGTTTTTTTACCCTTTTATCTGGCAACAAAACTAACACCTTTTTTTTACAAGGAGTCATGTTTACATTGACCACAATACCTGCGGTCGGAACGCAAACACAAAACAACAACTCTGATAATGTATGTGGCACTGTCCTTGAAATTGATTGGTCCACACTCGAGACAGCTTTCTTTAGAGCCTCGTCTCACGTTGGTGTTGGACCAGAAGACGCGTTCCGACCGCAGGTATTGTGGTCAATGTGAACATGACTCCTTGTAAAAAAGGTGTCAGTTTTGTTGCCAGATAAAAGGGTAAAAAACCAATTATCATATTTTGTTGCTGGCAAATGAGGTTTCCAATAATGTATATTGACAAATGTTGTTTACCTCCAGTTTTAGTCTTGGTAAAAAAAATCGCATCGAGTATAATGTATAGTACGTTGGACTTCTTCCGTGCCGTACGTAGCCAACCGTGCTGATCGGAGGTGCGGGGGAAAGACAGCAAATGATGCGTTTCTGTGAGTCTGGATTTCTGTGTGAGTCTGTGGGTTTATGTGTGAGTCTGTGGGTTTATGTGTGAGTCTATGGGTTTATGTGTGAGTCTGTGGGTTTATGTGTGAGTCTGTGGGTTTATGTGTGAGTCTATGGGTTTATGTGTGAGTCTATGGGTTTATGTGTGAGTCTGTGGGTTTATGTGTGAGTCTATGGGTTTCTGTGTGAGTCTGTGGGTTTATGTGTGAGTCTATGGGTTTATGTGAGTCTGTGGGTTTATGTGTGAGTCTATGGGTTTATGTGTGAGTCTGTGGGTTTATGTGTAAGTCTATGGGTTTATGTGTGAGTCTGTGGGTTTATGTGAGTCTTTGGGTTTATGTGTGAGTCTGTGGGTTTATGTGTGAGTCTATGGGTTTATGTGCAAGTCTGTGGATTTCTGTGTGAGTCTGTGGATTTCTGTGTGAGTCTGTGGATTTCTGTGTGAGTCTGTGGATTTCTGTGTGAGTCTGTGTGTTTATGTGAGTCTGTGGATTTCTGTGTGAGTCTATGGGTTTATGTGTGAGTCTGAGGATTTCTGTGTGAGTCTATGGGTTTCTGTGTGAGTCTGTGGATTTCTGTGTGAGTCTGTGGATTTCTGTGTGAGTCTATGGGTTTATGTGTGAGTCTGTGGATTTCTGTGTGAGTCTGGGTTTCTGTGTGATTCTGTAGATTTCTGTGTGAGTCTATGGGTTTATGTGTGAGTCTGTGGATTTCTGTGTGAGTCTATGGGTTTATGTGTGAGTCTATGAGTTTATGTGTGAGTCTGTGGATTTCTGTGTGAGCCTATGGGTTTATGTGTGAGTCTGTGGATTTCTGTGTGAGTCTATGGGTTTACGTGCGAGTCTTCGTATGTACGTTGAACTTCTTCCGCGCCGTACGTAGCCAACCGTGCTGATCGGAGGTGCGGGGGGGGGGACAGGACAACAACCCTAAACACAACAAAAAGCAGTTAATGCTAAAACTAATAAGAGTGCCATTTATTCAGTAAAAACCTCACCAAGTCTCGAGTTCTTTTTACCGATCACGTAAGAGTTCTGCTTGGAGATCGTTGGCCACGTCCCCATCATCCGTGAGCGTTTTGCGTCCGGTATATCGAAACCGGAGCGCCCGGCCAAAGATTCGCCGCTCACATGAGGGCAATTCAGTCGCAGGTTTGCGCAACCTGATTTCCGTGTATTTTCTTGACCCCTCCTTATCAACAGAAGTTGGGTTCGGGGGGTTTCCGCAAACGATCAACGACCTTGGCCTTGCTTCGAAGGGTGCCGGATTCGCAGACAGCCAAACCCACCGCTCATGACGAAGAGGATGCTGCGTGTTGTCGCGTGCGAGCTGTGATTTACACAAGTGCGGTAGAGCCTAATGGTGCCGTGGCAGATGTTACGTTTCTACACGTGGAGCGTCAACTTGCGTCGATGTTATATATATATAAAAAAGCGGCAAAGATTTTGCCTTCACGGCATTTCGTAATGAATTTCTTAACCGAGTCAAAATCCGAGGCGCATAGCGTGACCGTTGTTGAAATCTCCCTCTTCCAGGTAAGATCCCGGAACATTTCAGCTGAGATTGAGGAGG